TGGTGAACGAGTAAAACACGTGTAGAGAGTCTCCAAACCTGTAGAGGCGCTGTAGAGACGCAGACATTTTTACTCGTTCACCCGCGCGATTATTTTGAATAGACAATAGCTCGTTGTCTTAATAGCTAAAGTTCTGATAGCTTCATTTCTCAATAGCTCAAGTTCCTAGTAGCTTTGTTTCTCAATAGCTCTTTTTCTCAATATCTCAATTTCTTAATAGCTTAATTTTTCACTAGCTCAATATTTTAGTAGTCCAAAGTTTCAATGCCTCAATTCCTCAGTAGCTCAATTTCTTAATAACTCAATTTCATGATAATTATCTCAATTTCTTAAAGGTGGGGGGGGGGGGGGCATGAAAGAAATAATGTTCTCGAAATTTCGTTTAAATATGCCTCTCGAGGAGTTGAACGTGTGGGACGAGGATTGAGGGTGCGGCGCCGCTACCGACTGAGCTACACGGGCAAAGAGAAAGCCGCTGTCCGATTGCATACATAAAGGCGAGGGCGACAGCTGTACGCAGAGTGACATTAAGCGTTGTACACCGTCACGGTAGAATGCATACTCTAGCTACAAAAAAACTACGAAAAATCTCCTGTTCCCCCACCTTTAATAGCACAATTCCTCAACTTCTCAATATCTCAATATCTTAATAGCTCAATGTCTCAATAGCTCAATTTTCAATAGGTCACTTTCTCAATAGCTCAGTTTCTCAATAGCTTAATTTCTTAAAGGAGGCCAGACACCAAAAAAAAAAGTTTTCCTGATATTTTGCATAGAGAACCCCCATGAGGGGTTGAACTCATGACAGGCAGCTCAGGGGTACAGCGCCGCTACTGGCTGAGCTACAGGGGCGCGAAGGCGCCTGACGACCGATGGTCTCAATAGCTCAAAAGCTCAATTCTCGATAGCTCAGAGTCCTAATAATTTGATTTCTCAATAGCTCAATTCCTCAGTAGCTCAATTTCTCAATAGCTCACCTCTGTTATAAAGTTGTTATGACAACACTTATTGAACCGATTCGTCATTTTTGGGGCTCCCTCGTCTTGCGCCGGATCCGAGCAACACGAAAATTTAGCCTGGAAATCTGGATTTTGGGACACACAGACAGATTTTTTTTTTGAATTTTCAAACCTGCAAAAATTTCTGGAAACAACACAACTGGATTGTGCTATTTGAGCATTTTCCTGGAATACAGACGTCCGTCAGATAGATGCCTTTATTACAGCACTTGGACACCAAACTTCCCATTTGTTCTCGCTGAAAATAATGGAACTATTGAGAAATTGAGCTATTGAGAGATTGAGCTACTGAGAAGTTGAGTTAGTGAGAAACTGAGCTATTAAGATATTGAGCTATGGAGAAAGTGAGCTATTAAGAAATTGACATATTGAGAAATTGAGCTACTGAGAAGTTGAGCTATTGAGAAGTTGAGTTAATGAGAAATGGAACAATTATGGAATTGAGGTACTAAGAAATAGAGCTAGTGAGAAATCGAGCTATGGAGAAATGGAGCTTCTGAAAAATTGAGCTATTAAGAAATTGAGCTATTAAGAAATTGAGCTATTGAGAAATTAAACTATTGAGATGTAGAGATACTGAGAAATTGAGCTATATAGAAATCAAGAAGTTAGGCAATTGAGAGATTGATGATCTATTGAGAAAACGAGTTATTAAGAAATTAAGCTACTGAGAAATTGAGCTATTATGAAAATGAGAAATTGAGATATTAAGATATTAAGCTATGGAAAAATTGACCTATTGAGAAATTAAATTGTTGAACTTTTTTTTTCTAAATTTCAAATTCCCGCTCACCTGCTGATGGCAAATGTCGTCAGTAAACGCGCTACACGGCAAATTGGCATCCATCAGCAGTGCCGGATTGTTTGGGCCTATTTTGTGGTATGGGTTTGGCTGATAAGGATTCCATTGATTTTGCTGATTCTGATTATGCTGATAATATGACGGATAGGTTGGCCATGGACCGTTGTTCTCACTGTACCCGTTGTTTCCAGATGGTGGACGAGGGATTTGGGTCTGAAAATGAAAATTTGGATTTTGTGAATTTCTGAATTTCTGAATTTCTGAATTTCTGAATTTCTGAATTTCTGAATTTCTGAATTTCTGAATTTCTGAATTTCTGAATTTCTGAATTTCTGAATTACTGAATTTCTGAATTACTGAATTTCTGAATTTCTGAATTTCTGAATTTCTGAATTTCTGAATTTCTGAATTTCTGAATTTCTGAATTTCTGAATTTCTGAATTTCTGAATTTCTGAATTTCTGAATTTCTGAATTTC